TAGTTTGAAATAACCTGCCGAAATCTAGCTATGCATCTCTAGTAGGAGGCAAGCACAAGATTCAGAAAACAGTCTGATTTGCCCCAGAATGCTTTGGAAGCTTCACATTTCAAACATGATTCTGTATCCAAATCCTGAGTTTGCTTTGAAAACTTACTGGCTATAATTGGAGTTAAACAAAAAGCTGTAAGAGAAGATTGATGGGGCATGGGAGAACACTCCTCAAATACTTGAAGGGATGACAGGCAGAAAAAAGCCTGAGACCTGTTCTTTATCATCCCAGAGAGCAGGACATGCAATAATGCTTAAATGAAATGGTCTTTTAACTAGTCAGCTATTAAAACGCAGCCCTTATCCTGCTGATGGGAACTTCCATGATTCTTCAGTTCTTGATTAAACGGCATCATATTACCTCCATGCCTGTGGCCAATGCTTACATAGCCCTTACTTCTAGATTCTCATAGACATAACTTAAGCTAGCATTCTCTAACAATTATCATACTATCAACGTATTCCAGAATCTGCAGTGCTCATAAATTTGGAAGTTATTACAGTGGAAAAGGCCAAACCCAACTCTTGTGGCCCCAAGAACACTACCACAAAATGTCTTGTGGGTTTGAAACAAATTGAATCTACCTTCAAAATGGACTGTCATGTAGTTATTAGGTAAAATAATGGAATGTTGTATGGGTTTGGCATGAAATACTCTATGTAGGGATAATAGTGCTGTAGGAGATGTCCTGAGGGTTTAGTCATTTTATCCAGCCCAATAAAATCCTTCAGAGCCAACACCACAGCATTTAGGAGTCACTTGAATTATTATAAATTGATGTGTGTCCAAATATGCATATGCCATTACTTCTATTACTGCATAATATTAAAAGCAGATTCAAGGCAATGTTATATTGCTGGAGCACTGCCATCTACTATCCTCTGCTACCACCCCAGTTTAGCTAGAAACTACTGCAAGGGCTTTGCCTCTGGATTTCTTGTGGTATCTCAGTGAAAAAGGGGCTTTCTGAAAGCTGAGAGATTTCAGAAAGAGAACTACAGATCCTCTTCAGCAATTGTCAAATGCTCCCATATAGCATGAACTATTCTGTTCCATTAAATATATTAAAAAGTCTAGGCAAATGAATGGGGAAGCTCAAATTGTTTTATTTATTAGAACAAGCTTACAATTATTGTAGAAGATCCATTATAACAGGCTCATTAATCATAAAATTATGCATTACCAGAAAATTATACATTACGAGAAAATTACAGTAAAATGGAATGACTGAATCATTGCCATGAGATGTTCTTTTGGAGCCCAACAAGGGAAGCAGCACTGTTGCAATGCTGGCAGGTTGCTGGTTCTGCATTTTTATTTATTGATTTACTTGATTGGGCAAAGGACATGCATTATTAGATTTAAAAAAAACCTCTTCATTTAAGGAGATGTAATACATTACCATGTTAATAATGCCATCCCCTTGAAGAACTGGGGGGAAAAAAACCTGTCCAAGCTTCCATCTGATATACCTGAGAGGAAACCACTTTGAACCCAGTGGGGCTTACTTTGGAAGGTTATTCGTACATATAGCATTGCAGAGTTAATGAATTGCAATCTAGTGCCTACCAGATGTGAGAGGCTAAAACTACCACAATTCCTTTTGGCCATGCAGGCTGGGAACTTTCAAAATTGTAGCCTAACTTATCTTAAGAGTGTCAACTTGGAGAGAGGCTACATTACATAGCCAACTGATATACAATTTACATTTTAGTGTTAATTCTAGGTTTGCTATTACAGGTCAGGTCTAAAGTGGGTCTGTTACAACTCCAAAGTTTTTGAAATTTAAGCACATAGGAAAAACATGCATGTGTGGGTGTGGGTGTGTCTGTGTGTGTACACATACACACAGAGTTTGGGGGAGATTGTTCATTTCTGTTTTAAATTTACCTGTTATTTATATATCCAGAAATAGCACAAATGTTTAAAATGATAAAAGTTTTTATTTTTTCTAAAGTATACCCTCTTAACTAATACAAAATCTTTTCTTCATTTATCATTCATAATTAATTGAAATGTCTTAAGAAAGTGAAAACTGCAAAAATATACATAGTTTAAGCTATGTTCCTTCTGATATCAGAAAGCCAGTGAATATAAAATAGAATAAAATTTAAGAATAAAATAATTGCTCAATACTTGCACATACTAATAATTGCTTATACTAGAACAAGTGCTGTTTTTGAAAGCAAGAAATCCTTGCAGTTGTTTTTATCACTTTTATCTGGTTTTGTCCTTTTTCTTTGGTTCTTATGAACTGTGTAATTTTAACCAAAACATTTTTTTCTAATTCAGCCATTTAGAATATGTGAGTGATCATCATTTTGGTTCACACAAGGTTCTTATTGCTATAGCCGTAATATATTTAATTCAAGAAGCAAAATCCTACATCTTTCTCATTTAGAAGTAAACTATACATGTTAAGTTATCATTTTTCATATTTAGTTATCCAAAATTCATTTAAGCCTCTTAAGATCCTGGTCCTATATATCAGTAGTGGCAACACACATCTGATGGCCACAAGTGGCCCCAACCATCCTATTTATAATACCTAGAATCCCAAGTTGCACAAAAGATCAC